CAAAAAATCTTAGAGTTAACCTCTCGCTAGCTACAATCGGAGAGATTAGCGTTTGTGAAAATTAAGTGTTCAAATGTGTATATTTCTTCTGCCATAAAGCAGTGTAAACAGCCGCATAGGCTGTGGGTTGTACAATCTGAAAAAAATGGTTGGAGATGACTCCTAGTATTGCACAATTCACTAACTCACCGCACTATAACAAATCTAACAATTGTGGTGGTAGTCGTGGTGCTGTCGCTAGATCGTGTCGCGACTAATGGTCTTTGTGCTGTCTTGTGAAAGCCAACACCATCTTTTTCATTTCTTTCTTCTTTTCTTTTTAGTTTTCATTTTCGTATTTGTCTTTGTGATTGGTCTTTCATTAGTTTTAGCATTATTTCTTCGTTATATTTTCACTGTGAATATGGTGAATGTGTTTCGTGTTCGACTTCTAATGTCATTTCGCTATGTTGCTAACTTCGTGCTTGTTCATTTAACGCCACTACTAACTGCCTCGTTTTCGAAACTCGCTGGTGGTTCTTAATAATCTTGCGTATGAATGCGTATACCTATTTACCAAACTAATTATTCTTTCTCAATTTTCTCCACTGCATGCCTTAAAAAGCTGTGAATGTCTTTCATTTTAAGTATTAAAGACTTACTCGAAATTGAGTTTTCTTATCGCTTTAACGTGTATGCCAATGTGCTCAAAACGCTTGAGACTATGCAAATCTTGGACTTGCGTTTAGATTGCCAGAAACACTCACAAAATTGCTTATGTATTTTGGGACACCTTCTATTCATAGTACTTCCTCTCGCCTAGTTCCCTTATTTATTGGCTTGTACGAAGCTATTATCTTCTTTATTGATGCTTACCACTTTGCCCCTATTATGGAGAGTCATCCAAAACAAGAATATTGGAGCATTTGTGATAGTTTTGTTACCTGTCTTCAGTACGCACAGTTAGAATTTCTTCAATTTGTTTTGATATTGTATGCTAGCCCTCGCTCAAACGGCGTTATAGCAGAATTTCAGCAAATTGAAATCATCCAAATTTTGTAGAGCATTGTGCGAAATCCCAAAACTTAGCTGGTGAGAAGCAATACTTGTGGACGAATCTCTTGTTACTGGGATAAGCTTCAGAGTAACAGTAAACTCGAGTCGAACTCTCTTTTGATCTCATTGGTAGCCGAAATCACAGTGAGTGCGATTTATGTATGAATGACATATCCGAGACCACTTCCATCTTTTAATAAGCAAAATGCGAGTTAGAACTCTATGGCCTTAACAACCAAGCAGCGAAATGAAATATCTTTTTTTTTTTGTGAGAACTAGTGCGCCGTATACTTGCTACATAAAGTAAGAAAACACAGCTTGTTTCAAAGGACAAAATTTAAGTGCAGGCA